GTAAACATCAGTCCTTAAATTTCTACTCTGTCTCCTCTTTCATTCTAGGCACTTTTAAGATTTCTCTATTTGTGAGAACAAACAGAAGTTAAACACATAAATACAAACCTTTCTGTATACTCTATGGCCATTCATAAAAGACAAAGTCATGACTAGCACCATTAAAAGTTTCTTTTTAAAGCACGGTATAACACACCCTAATATTCACTGCAACACTGTTTACAGTAGCCAAGACATGGAAGCAACCTAAATGTCTATAGACAGAGTGATGGATAAAGAAGATGTGGTAAATATATACAATGCAGTATTGCTCAGCCATTAGAAAAGAATAAAATAACACCATTTGCAGCGACATGGATGGGCCTGGAGGTTGTCATACTGAGTGAAGTCAGACAGAGAAGGGGAAATGTCGTATGACATCCCTTGTATGTGGAATCTAAAAAGAAATTATACAAATGAACCTAAAAAACAGAGACTCACAGACTTAAGAAAACAAACTTTGGCTGGTGACAGGAGAAGACTGGGAGAAAGAAATAGTTAGGGAGTTTGGGATGGACATGTACACGCTGCTATATTTAAAATAGATAACCAACAAGGACCTACTGTATAGCCCATGAAACTCTGCTCAATGTTATGTGGCAACCTGGATGGGAGGAGAGTTTAGGGGAGAATGGATACATGTATGACTGATCCCCTTCACTATTCACCTGAAACGATCACAAACTGCTATACCCAACACAAAATAAAAAGTTAAAAAAATATATCAAGTTATAAAGGTAATAAAGAACATGAACCTAATATTTTAAAAATATATGATACACATGTGTATAAAAAGATTTAAAATTATAAATCCCAGATATATATTCAAAATGATTAGGCAATTTTATGTTTCTTCCTTCTTAAAAGACATTACTTTGCCAACAAAAGTCCATCTGGTAAACTATGGTTTTTCCAGTAGTCTTGTATGGATGTGAGAGTTGGACTATAAAGAAAGCTGAGTGCCGAAGAATTGATGCTTTTGAACTGTGGTGTTGGAGAAGACTCTTGAGAGCTCTTGGACTGCAAGGAGATCCAACCAGTCCATCCTAAAGGAGATCAGTCCTGGGTGTTCATTAGAAGGACTGATGCTGAAGCTGAAACTCCAATACTTTGGTCACCTTATGTGAAAAACTGACTCACTGGAAAAGACCCTGATGCTGGGAGGGACTGGGGGCAGGAGGAGAAGGGGACGACAGATGATGAGATGGTTGGATGGCATCACCAACTCGATGAACATGAGTCTGAGTAGGCTCCGGGAGTTTGTGATGGACAGGGAGGCCTGGCGTGCTGCAGTCCACGGGGTCACAAAGAGCTGGACACAACTGAGGGACTGAACTGAACTGAATAATTTTTCAACAATGAGTATGGTTTTTATTAAGAATTTTAAATATTTGTATCATTTCAGTAACTACTTTTTAATGAAACTGACAAGTAAGCTATGATTCTATTATCCTCTTACAAACCTTCCCTGCAATTTTTAACGAATTCTGAGTATCCTTGTTGACAGAGGAAAACGAATGACATCTTTCCTGTTATTTAAAACAAAGAAATATTTCAGATAAAACATAAAGTAAATTCTCAGTTTCTATTCTTCTGAGCAAAGCCATTTTATTGGATGACTTTGTTCTTACTCCAAGGAATGGATAATGGGAGTTTACTATGTATCTATGTGAATTATCACTCACAAAAAGCAGTAACTTTTTTTATCTAACAAAAGGAAAAATACAAAAATGAACAAGTTGGTTTTCCAGACTTAGTAAAAATCTAGTCTTATTTCATCTACCAAAACATTAAAGCAATCCATATTATTATAATGTTCATTTATAAATACGTAGATCCAAGTTAATCAAAACATTTTAAAAGTTTCTGGACACGTACTAGATTAGGAATCAATGTTTATAAACGAAGAAGAAAAACACAAGTGTCATATATCTCCAAAAAATTAAAGAGTAGCTAAAGTCCTTTTTCACAGGAAAGAAATAGTCAATCAGGAAAAGAGAAAACTGTAGTTAAGAACTTTTCTTCATCACATTTTAGAAAAATATTTTGCCAATCACTTTTTATTAGAGGTTGAAATAAAACAATCATCTAATTTTTTTTTTTTTTTTTTAACTAAAGATGACTTTTAAATTTATAATGTAAACTAGGCTAGTAACCTTGGAAACTACCACTTAAACCCTTTGGTAGATTTTGTGTGTGTTAATACAGGCACTATTTGATCACTCTTAATGCCAAAAGATAACATTTCTAAAGGACATTTTCATATGATAGGAACAATTTAAACAGTATGCCTCTTCAGAAGGACAACACCATTTTTCTTCCTTTCCTCAATTTTTACACTAAATGTAACCCACATTTAGAATATTCTTATCTGTCTATTTTTATATTCCCATGGATAAAACCAGGCATTTAAGGACACTGAGCAAAGAACCTTATCATGTTACCTACCAATAAATTTGTCTTTTTCCTGCTTAACAGGCAAAAACTGTCCTTGCACAAAATAAAACGAGTATCAGGTGAGTTAACTTGAGCTAGTGGTTAGGACATGTTGCTATAATAAGGCTAAACTGACCATCGGATCACTAACTGACTTGCATCTATTGCAGGGCCACAGACTGCATCAGAACCCCTGCTGGTGAGTTCGATGGTTACAAGAAGAGCCAGCCAAATGTGCAGCTGAGTCAGCACAAATCCACTATCATCAGGTTCTATTTATCAACTTTACTACAAACAAATCATGTACAAGTTGTCACCTGGCGAGAGAACGCCAATAATATACCCACTGGATCCCAATAGCGTCTATTTTAGGTTCTAAATTGAAGAAACAAGGTATTTTAAAATCCAAATCCATTTCTATTAATCAGCACTTATATTCTGAATTTTAAAATACCACCACATTAAATTCTGAGTCCCGCTGCTAAGACAAATGATGGCAGCCACATTCTTCTCTTTTGAACTGGAAGAAATGTAGTGATGACAATTGTTGATCCCTTTACTCTCTTAGCTTTATCAATTCAGGTACTTTTGTCTTTATGTAACAACTGCAAACTAAGAGGATCTATACCTTCAAATTACAATAAAAATTATCTTCCAAAGAGAATTAAAAAAAAAATCAGTAGTGATAACTGAAACCTGATCACTTTTCCACCCTGTTTCTCTTCTGAGACCTATAACTCTTTCCCATAATATATTGCACAAGGGATTGTAATGACTACTTCAGTCCTTTTAATTTGCCCCTCCTAGAGACTGTGAATTTCCAGAGTGAGGATAGCATAGTTTCCTCCAGTCCTTCTTCTCACCTGCAGCCCATTAAGAATATAAATTGAGACTCAAAATGGTATTCATCTGCTACAGATCAGTCTTCCCACTAACTATATACTATGAAATTCTGTAGACACTAGGTACATAGCAACTCTTAACAGTGCCAGGCCCATATTAGACTTTCAAATATCTTTAGTGAAAGCTAAGCATGTCAACCTTTTACTCTCTCCTATCACACTCAGTATCAGCAAAGCACCCCATGAATATGGACAACTGTACTGTCTGTATGAACCTTTGACCCAAGACACACTCTGTCTTTTCCTACTGGCCATACTTTCAACTGCCTCTTCGGAAGGAAAAGCCTTGGATTATGTCTGATTCATTCTCCAGTACAAATATTCCATACAAGAAAATACAGTGCTCAGGATATGTCTAATCAAGTAATATCTTACAATACAATCCTTGATTAACCATGTGATCCTTACAAAATTTATGAACTTATAAATTTTAACACGTATTTTTTTTCTTTGGTTCACACCAAGACTTGAGAATGCTTCCCAGTATAGCTGATGTTAATGAAGATGCCTGGAGAGATGGATGTGGGAGAGGAAAAAAGGCCATAGTGAAGGAACAATTTAACATATTGCTTCCATTTCCACCTATATCCCATGAGAACTTAAATGGGAAGGGAAAAGATGGAGGTAGAACCTATGATTCAGAATAAGCTAGAAAGAAAACAAAAGATGCTGACTTTGCAAATTGTGCATCTTAAGCTATCCTTTCAAATAATTTTTTAAAAAGAATTGTTTTTAATCCACACAATCTTGCTTCTTCCAGAAGCAGCTCAATTTCATCTCACCCAACATCCTCCGCCTTCATACACAAACATACAGTGCTACCACTGAGTCCCGATGCCAAACCAACCATCACAGGAAAATTTAAACCGTGAGAATTATTTCCCATTTCTCTCAGAAAGATAATCACAAAAATTTTCCCTGCAGGCAAATTAGCTATTTCTAACGGGCTTGGAGGGGGGTGGCGGGAGGGAATAGACCATTATCATGCAGCTTCTCATTCTCCATAGAGAAGAAAACTGGCATGAACTTCCAACCAGGGGGACAGCTGCTTTTATACTGTATACCCAGTTAGAACCTAAAAACAAGCCAAAAAAACCACGCTGATCTTTTGATGCATTCAAATGAATAGAAAACTAAGGTATTTTTACTTTGCAGCAATATAGCGCCTCAAAAATCCTCCAGAGATTGGGGGGTGGGGGCGACCCATCAAACCCCAAACCCTTGCCATATGGGGGAGTAGGATTCTGTCAAATAGAAAATGCCACCCTCCGCCTCCTCCGCCATAGCGAAAATTGACGGGCACCGATTGCGGAGGCGGCCGAGGGAAGAAGAGAGGAGGCGGGGACACACACGCACACACACACCCCGCACCAAGAACTGATTCATGGCTTCTGAAAAATGCTTGAAAGCTACAATTTCGTCCAACCGGAGAATTCTCACCCATTCTCCCGCTCCCACCCTGCTTCTGCCCCTGCATGGGGGCTTAGCTGCACTGTGTCCCCGCGGCGGCCTCGGCCCCGTGCGCCCTACGCCCCCAGGCGCGCGGCCCCCGGGCCGGGGGTCCCCCACGCGCCGCTCGGCAGCCAGAGGCCCAACACGCCCAGGCCGGGAGACGCGTCGCACCTGGATGTAGTTGTTCTCGCAGTAATCGGCCACCCGTTCCAGATTCGTGTAACTGTCGAAGAGGGCCCGGCGGCCCCCCGGGATTTCCTCCTCCAGCAGCATCTGCAACTCCGCCATCTTCACATCCTCCTCCTCATACAGACCGCAGAGGCAGCGGCGGCAGGAGCGCCAGGGAAACCCAAGACTGGGAGAGGAGGAGCCGAGGCGACGGCGGCGGCAACCCGGGAGGAGCGAGAAACACCCCCCGCGCGCGCGCGCGACAGGGGAGGGGGCAGCGGGAACGGGGGCGGGGCGCGAGCCGATGGACTCGGAGGACGGTCACCGCGGCGACAGCCGGCCCGGAGCGCGCACGCGCGCTCCTCTCCCTCCACCCCCGGGAGCCCGAAAAAGGTTCCCACCCTTGGTCGCGCCGCCCGCCCCTCCCCCACATCCGGCGTCTCCTAGCGACCGCGGGAGTGGGGGCCGGGATGCGCGCGGGAGTCGAGCGCGCGGTTAACTCTTCGGCCCCCGCAGGATGCGTGGCTGGGGCAGTGCACCCCGCGGCCTTTGTTAGTCCGGCGTGAACGCCCACCCGGCTCTGCGGTCTTCCCGCCCGCTTCTTCAGCGACTCTCCTCGGCGTTATCCTCAACCTGCGGCCCAACCCTATGGTAGTGGGCCTGAGGGATAATATTAGCCCACTGAACTCCCTTGCAGCTTTAAGTGCGCCCCACTTTTAATTTTTTCTCATCTTTGACCGTATTCACCCTCTTTGGATAAATGAATTTCAGTTTCCTGATCCCAAATTTCCTACCCTCCACCTTATTTGCACCTGTTTGCCGATTAGCGCCGTTTCCCCTGCCAGCTGAGCCTCGGCTCTTTCCTCCTTCGCCCGTCCTCTGGCTTTTTCTACTTGCTCTATGCTGCCCTTCAGTGACAGTCTTTTTTTTATCATTTCTCTGAGTCTGTCAACTTTTTTCCTCATCAATTAAGGATTTAAAGTTTCAAAAACGATTTTGCTGGCACTTGCCTTCCTCACAGGGCTATTACATGGATAAAATAAAAGTTTATGTGAAAGCACCGTGGAAAACGTTAAATGCCACAAAAATTCAAGGCACATCATTTTGGTCTTGCAGTTACTATTCTGTATTGTATATTTTTTTTTTCCTAAATCTGACTACGCCACATATGTAATTTTTAAAAACTGAAATTTCTGACAACTGCCGAGATATTATAAAGTCCATGACCTTTATTTGTACCATGGAAAGTCAAGGTTGACTGCCTTTGCAATTTAGAGCAAGATCTATTGCTTCAAGTCTGGTATTTGTGATCTCTTGGCCTTCCTAGTGATTTTTTCCCCTCTTGCTTTTTTCTCCTCTGATAATGAGGAAACTACTGTCTCAGATCACTTTAATGCTTTACCATTGTTTTATTGGCTTTTTGACATACACATAAGCACATTGTTTTGAGTTTTTTCTGTGGAACCCAAGTTAAAAGATACTGAAAATGTTCCAGTCTGACTGGTTTTATTCTGAACCACTTAAAATGTCTTCTGTATTAGTGGTTCTCAAACTTAAGTGTGAGGTGCTTTTTAAAATGAGAGCTCTAGGGTGACACTCGAGATATTCATTAGCCTTAGTGATGGAATGGAGTAGTTACTTAAATGGCGTGTAAACTTGCTTCAGGGATTAACATTATTAGATCAAGCAAACTTTTCTTTTAGACTTAATTTCAATGAATCAAAGTCTACTGTTGAGCTGTAAGATGTCCAGCAGGCTAAGTTAAATGCTAAACACTCTCCCCCCATTACCTGTTTCCACCTGGCATTCTTTCAAGTACTGCTTAGTAATAAGCCCAATAAACAGTTCTCCGCAGAGGGCTGACTCATCATCTTAGGAATCACTGAAAGAAGATTCTAGTATGTACTTTCTCAAATTAATTTGTGACAACTTGGGATTTTAGCTTCCTTAACTGAAAAATCAAAGGGTTAAACTCAGGTCAGTTCTCAGACTTCTTGGAGTACAATCACCTTCAGGGCTTGTTAAAACACAGAAGTGCTAGGCCTCACCCCTAGAATCAGTTGGCCTGCCCCCATTTATAGTTCTAACAAGTTCCCAGGTGATGCCAATGAAACTGCCCTTCTGGCTATGAAGGCCTAACTGGCACTCTCTACTGAGAGAAGGCCTTTTAATATTCAGCAAAATCTAAGGATCAAAGCACATAGATATACACTTCTGTTGCCACCAAGGTCATTTCAGTAAAAAAGACAACTACAAAATCTATAAAAACTACATGCATCACGTGTGCATATATAATTGGTGGGATTGTAGGGCTTTTGTTCTTGCTCCTCTCAGCTTTTCTAAAATGAGTATGGATTATTTTTCTAAGAGACTAGTAAGGCTATTATCTCCCCAAATCAGAAAGAACACTTATAAAAAAAAAAAGAAAGAACACTTTTATTAATGCAGCCCAAGACAACATTTTTAAGTAATTTTATCACCAATTTGCTTCAAAGTAAGCATTTAAAATTTTGTAGATTTTTTTATATATTGACCCAGTCATGCTGAGTACAGTTGATTTTTTTAAAATCAAACTTCAGGTCCTAATATTTATTTCCAATTAATTGTGCCTTGACTTTTCACCAAATTTAAATCCTCATTACCATCTATTTAAATAATCTTGATTCACATCATCTATAGATTTAATAAGCAAGACTTTGGGGTGCATTATTGCCTTTAATAAGAATGTTGAATAAATCAAGGCCAAGAAGAGGGCCTAATGGCTAGGTCCTATAAGACTGACTGAGTTGGTCAGAGTCACAATCAATATACCTTGAATTGGGCCAGTTGTGATTGTACCCTAAAGGACTCACATTTATCAGATATTTCATCATGATCACATAACTGGTGAACAAGTGTCAAATTCTTCTGCTGAAATAAAGATACTGTGGAATTCTCTGGATGTATATCACTCCTAAATGAGAAAATTAAGGTAAAGCACAATAATATATTGCCTTAAAGTATGGGTTCTAAGTAAACAAATTTGCTTAACTGGGAAGTTTACAATTGCTTCTCTTACATCTAGAAGACGTGTCCATTCACTTTGGACTTTCCCCTCGGATTCTTCCTGCACACTGACATGATAATTCATTATAAACACTGCTTTCATCAGTAAATCTGTTTTTCTCCAGATTCTCAGTCTCTCTTTCCAGGTGGCTCAGTAAAGAATCTGCCTGCCAATGCAGTAGACACAGGAGACACAGATTCGATCCCTGGGTCAGGAGGATCCTCTGGAGAAGGAAACCGGAACCCACTCTAGGGTTCTTGCCTGGGAAATCCCATGGACAGAGAAGCCTGCATGGCTACAGTCCACGGGATCACAAAGAGTCAGACGTGACTTAGCAACTAAAAGGAAACAACAGAAACTTCTAAATGACATCAACCTACCAGCTTTAAAATCCATAGCACTGAGTATTAATTAGTACTTAACATTATTGTATTTTCTCATACATTTTAAAGATTAAAGAACAAATAACATTTGTGGCACCTTAAGAATAATACCATCTGTTTCACTTACAACAGAACTTCCTAGTTTTGCCTTAAATGTTTGGAAACTATTAAATAAGGATGCCATCCTTCTTCATGAAGATTCATTGTTGTTGAGTGACTTAAGTCGTGTCTGACTCTTTTGCGACCCTCTGGACTGTAACCTGCTAGGCTCCTCCGTCCATGGGACTTCCCCGGCAAAAATACTGGAGTGGGTTGCCATTTCCTTCTCCAGGGGATCTTCCCCACGCAGTGATCGAACCTGCATCTCCTGCGTCTCCTGCACTGGTAGGTGGGGCCTTATACGGCTGAGCAACCAGGGAAGCACTCTTCATGAAGATGCTTTGACTGTTTTCTTTCTTTACCTTGACAATCTCAAAACTAGTTTTCTAGCTGCTATATAACTTTATCAGGCAATAGCTTATATATATGTGCATATACAGTTCAATGAATGTATATTTCAATGAAATTTAAAAGAATTCCTTTTTAAGTAATTAAGTCCCCTGTTTGATATATTACACAGTAATAATCAGGAGAAATGCAGAGTTTTTTACTCAAGCAATGACATGGTTAACTTACTTCCCATTCTTACCCCAAACAGGAAACATAGTTATCAGTGATTAATATGTCCATACACATTTTTATATATTTTACAGTTTTAATTAAATTTAAGACTGCTGGAAATTTTAATACCAAGTGCATATAATTTGAACATATTAATCTTTGAAACAAATTTTCTATATGTAATAAAAAAATAAATGACTGGGATCTAAGCCTTATATTTTTAGGCACGCTTTATCATATGAAATTTTGGTCTCAGTTTTAGTTATTTAAATCTTGGTCTCAATTTTAGGGATATTTATTTAATGGTTTAAAGTGTACCAAACTATTTTTTTTAAAGCCTTACTGTGTGATAGAGTTTCCCATGCTTTGTAACTGTACGAATGCACATTTTAAGAAGTAAGTTAAAAATGACTGGAAAGAATACACATCCTCCAAAATTAGTCTGTAAGAATAAAAAAATCCCCTCCCATTTTCAGGAAGTCAATAGTCTACAAGTCTCAAACATATATTTTCATTTGTACTGAAAGTCATTTTTTGTCTATTTTGGAAATTACAAATATACAGTATGGAAAATAGTGTAGTTACAACACAAATATCCATTGACTAGATGTAACAAATAGCTTCTATTTTACTTCATGAAATATTAATAATTTTAAATAAAATTATAGTAATCATGACATTTAACTCCTAAATGCTTCATTACAAATTTCCCAAAAAAAAGGGTCTTTTGCCACATAACCACAATATTGTTAGCAAATCTAACAAAATCAACAGTAATCCCCTCACACTACCCAAAAACCAATAAAAAGCATTTTTCAAGAAGAAATTACTCTTAGAGAGGAAATAACATATATCCCAAGATAAAACCTGAAAGCACTATATTTAAATATTTAGAGTCCCAATAGTTTCCTGTGATAGACCACAAAATAGCTTCCTCCTCTGTGAAAAATAAGATGTTTTTTCCCATTAAATTATGAGAATGGGCAATACAACCTGAAATTCTTCCATGATAATATATCTCTGTGTATAGATATAACCAACTACTCTATGGTAGCTCAGACGGTAAAGCATCTGCCTACAATGTGGGAGACCTGGGTTCGATCCCTGTGTCGGGAAGATCCCCAGGAGAAGGAAATGGCAACCCACTGGAAAATCATGCCTGGAAAATCCCATGGACCAAGGAGCCTGGTGGGCTACAGCCCATGGGGTCACAAAGAGCTGGACACGACTGGGAGATTTCACTTCACTTCACTTCATAGATATAACCAATGGGGTGGGTAATTGATCTTGAAAGGTATGTTTTTGAAGAATACAAAT